TGTAATGCCACGGCACTCTACCCAGGGGGACAGCTTGAGGCTCTGTCTCAAAAAAAAAACAAAAAACAAAAAACAAAAACACAGGGTACATGCTTCTTTTCTTTAAAACAACTTTGAGTTATAAAAAAAAAAAAAAAGGGTGGCACCTGTGGCTCAAAGGGTAGGGCATTGGTCCCATATGCTGGAGGTGGTGGGTTTAAACCCAGCCCTGGCCAAAAACTGCAAATAAATAAATAAATAAATAAATAAATAAAACAAATAAAAGACTTTTGAGTTAGAGAAACTTTAATATTATTACAAAGCAAGCCAAAAGACCTTTTATGTATTATGTATTTATTTTGAGACAGTCTCTTTCTGTTGCCCATGCTAAAGTGCTGTGGTGTCAGCCTAGCTCACAGCAACCTCAAACTCCTCGGCTCATGTAATCCTCCCACCTCAGACTCAGTAGCTGGGACTACAGGTGTATGCCACTACATCTGGCTAATTAAAAAAAAAGTTTCTGTAGAGATGAGGGTCTTGCTATGTTGCCCAGGCTGTTCTTGAACTTCTGGTCTCAAGCGATCCTCCTGCCTCAGTCTCCCAAAGTGCTGGGCCTATCTTTAACCTCTGGAGGACCTCTATACTGTTTCCCATATTGGCTGCACATTCCATAATCCCATCAATAGTGCACAATGGTTCATTCTTTTCTCTTAATTATCAATTTCAAAGTAAGAAGTTGATATATTCAACTCTGATGGTGCCAAGCATACTTTTTCCCCCAAGTGTGTCACTTATGGATGAAAGGGGTTTTTTATTTACTCAACAGTTCACTACCCATTGCAACCATTTTCTTTTTGTTTTTGCCTTTACTGACCGGGCTGGGTTTGAACCTGCCACCTCCAGCATATGGGGCTGGTGCCCTACCCTTTTGAGCCACAGGCGCCACTCCACGACCATTCTTTTCTTAATGTTCACATTTAACCAAATTTGGCCAGTGGGAGTCCCTTCAAACCAGTGCATTTGCCCTTGTGAAACACTTCTGTTAATTTCCCTTTCTGG